AGAAGAAAAATCTGTCTGTAATGAAAAGCCCAAGGGAGTGTTTAGAATTTGATCTGGGATCCTACCTCTGCAAGGTTCTGGGAAAATGATGCCAGCCACCATCCCCAGTTTGCACTTGAAAGACACACACTGAGCTGCTGGTGGCCTTGGGGAAGACTTGCTTCTTGAATGTGGCATCCAGCTTCACAAATCTGAAGAACTCCATGGGTTGTCTTATCTCTTATGCTTGGCATTTCAGCGAACAAAGTTGGACAGATTTGACTACAGAGGGACTGGCATAGAAGCTAATTGTACTCCTTCCATGCGGGTGATTCTGCCCTTTATCAATATTGTGGCTGCAGAGAGTTCTTGGTTGTAAGAAGGGACAGATCTCAAAACAGTCTTGTTTCAAAACGCAGACCTCCTATCATTTCAACAAGAAGTGAATCCTGTCTACCCGACCACTTTTGTTGGTATAACTTACGTCATGCAGGGGTGTGAAAAAACACCCACCTGAGCGATGTAAATCACACGGACATAAGCACCGGTGCGGACAGTGCTACGTTGGCAGGAGAGCTCTCTCCCGTCGGCATAGGGTGGCTACACAAGCGATCTTACAGCGGCGCAGCTGTAAGGTGTTAGTGGCAAGAGGAGATTAAGGCTCATGTATGCTGTATAGGCTGCAGCCACTACAAGGTACATGCCCATCAATACTTGAACATGTCTAACGTTCCATCTGTTAACACTGCATCACTTGCTCCCGTAAATGAAAGGATACAAAACCTGCCTATTCAGCGTCTGCATGGCAAATACCCAAGGCCACAAACCCACGTTTCACTGAAGGGAAAGTCGGTGCCGCCTTTCGGGAATGAATATTCTCTCCACGCTGCTCTCCTTTGATCATCCCTCCTCCTCCTCTTCTGCTCTTTACACTGCCACACTCTAAGCTGAAGACACATGGCTTGATTCTCCCCACACATAAGCTGGCATAAATCAGGAGTAACTCCACTTGTGTGAGAGGAGAATCAGACCCATGTTCCTGCATGCCCCAAAGCCCCCTGGATGCTGACCATTCAGTCAGAATGTTATCTGTGGTAGTGATTTCCTTGGATAACCTCTCAGGACTCCAGAAAAAGTATTTTGGGACCCATAAGTCCTAATGCTTCCATTCTGGCTTATCTCAAACTGTTACTACTGAGTATTTACAAAACAATTATATATTGATTACATAGTAGTAAACAATGAAAATTTCATTCTAATTGCTAATAAGGACTACATAGTAATTACACTTGGAATTATTGCTAACCCTAAGGCAGTCTTGTCACTAGATATACACATGAAAGTCCCATTAATGTTGACGCAAGTTCTGGGCTTGCTTCAAGAATAGGATATATAACCAAGTGTAGCTACTATGTAATTAATGTTCATTTGCCCATGAGGGTACGTCCAGTAGCAGGAACCAAAATATTATCTAAAACGGCAACTACAAAAAAGAGATTCCTTTCTTCTGTACATTTTAAAATAATCTGAGACTGGCAAATCACTGGGCAGATTCTGCCACTGTCCCTCACAGTTGTCACAACATCTGCAGTAGCCACAAAGCCAAAAAAAAAAAAGACCCCTTTCCTAACTCATTTTGGGCAAAAGACAAAAACGAACCTAGCAGCCAATTATTGCTCTCAGGCTAATATGTTCTGGACTTTTGCATCTGTGTTCCAGCAGCCATTCTGTGAGCTGCCTGGAAGAATGGCTTCGTTGAAAGAGAAGTGATGGGATTCACATTGGCAAGACAGGCTGGAAAATCAAGTGAGAGCCACACATCTGTGCTGAGCTGCCATGGCATTTTTAAATAGTACAATTAAAAGACCAGCAAAACCCAAGGCATGATTTAAATTTTCAGTGCAACAGTGCATGTTGCCTCCTGATGAAATAACAGAATCTTTTTAACTCATCTGAGCTAGTTCTCCGAGTCCTGGGCCAAGTCTTAACCATTCTGTGCCTCCTTCAAAGGTTTCACGGTTTGATTTGGCAAACTCTATTTACAGTATGTTAAATACATTGTGCTAAACACAGTGCTAAAAAAAATACAACCAGCTGAGACGGTTTAATGCTCATTTTCAGAAGGTCTCACTGGCATTAGAGGCTGGGGACCCTTGGCAGAGTACGAGAGAAACTGCCTGCCATTGAACCGAAGGCTCGTGAGTGGTGAATTGGATTCCGACATGGACGGTCACTAGGCTGAGGTGGCAAAATTCCCATTCGGCTAGGTTGGGTTTTGACAAACGTGGAAAATGAGAACTTAGCTCTCAGATTTGCTTCGTGCTTCTAGAGCCATTTTCATCCAGAGATCTCAGTGCCATATACAAAGGGTGGTAAATATCATTGTTGTCCCCATTTTAGAAGCGGGGAAATGAAATGACACCGAGTCAGTGACAGAGCCCAGCTCTTGTGCATCCCAGTCTAGTGTCTGATGCAATGTGCCGCTTTGGAATCAGTTTGAAAAGACATCATGGCAGCTGAGGGCCAGAGTCTTCAGCCCTTACTCCCTTTCAGTAACATCCTTCCTTGGGAAGTAATCTCACTGAAACCAGTGGGGCTACCCGCAGAATTAAGGGCATGGTGATTCCTATGTCCGTGATCCAGCCCCCACTCAACTCAAATGGCAGTTGGATCAGACCCCAACGAGCAACGCAGAGAGAGACATTGTAGGCCAAATCTTGAAGCCCTGGCTCCACTTTTACAGTGGCAAGTGTTCCATCTGACTTGGCAAGAACTGAGTACAAGTGAAGGGTTTATACCTGCAAACGCTCACTCATGGAGCAGCATCAGGCAGAGTAGTAAGTGTTTGCAGGATTAGGTCCAGAGTATGGATGCGTGAACACAGCATTAGGCAGCTCTCAAGGCTCAATTATGCAATTTCTGTTCCCCATGTGCACCGAGGACTGATTTATTTGAAATTAAACCCACAAAACATGTTAATTCCTGCTCAGGTCTTGAGCGGGCTTTAATGTAGCAACCTTCTCTCATTTCCACTGATTCTGCCGAGCAATCTGACGCACTTAAAACTTTCCTCTCATGAATAGCTAATATTAGCCTCCGGATACCTTGCTATTAAAAATAAAACCACCGAGCTGCACAGAACAGGAGCTGTGATACATTTTCCTCTACTGCTGGACAGTCTTTGGGTCCTCATTCCTGCAATCCAGTAATTGTGAGCCTGTAATAATTTCAGGGCTAATGCTTCCAGGAATCTCTCCACAGTTCCCTGATCTCATGCTAGTGACTCACCAACTCTGCAAGTGCTGGCTTTTTCTACTCACAAGCTCCTCCTGATGGTAACATAGCTCCAGAAGAACAGCATTGCCAAACTCAAGTGTTCCAAAATCATGAGATAGGCTTAAAAATTATGAGATTTTTGGAAATAATAAATGTTTGGTTCTTTTTATTTGCCTACTAGCTTTTGAGTCTTTAGTGTTCATGTTTCCTAGCTTTTCTTTGCAACCAGGAGGGTTAGAAGCTTATTTTTTTTAAAAAGAAACAGATTCTGATGTATTCACTTGACTCCAGGAGCTGGGGCTTTAACAAAAACACCGAATTGCAAGATACGCAGTAAAATCACAAGAATTGCCAACACTGGAGGAGTGAAATAATTTGTGTGTGTGTGGCAGTTTGAAGGCCACTTCCTGGTGTATTTAGCGTGTCACAGTGCGAGAATAAAATATCATATGTGATTTCCCAGAGACAGCAGAGCCTTGCTGATACACCCTGACCAAGAGAACCATTAGTGAGAGAGTAAAAGACAGAACCTAGGCTAGACTGTGACTTGGACTGCATACCATGCAGGGCAGTTGGAATCCTATTTATACCCTGTACAGGTGAGCTAGAGTTGGGGAGCAGGAGTAAACAGGTGTGGCTGACTTCCTTAGTGCCCTCTGCCCAAGAGCTGGGGGGTGAGGGGGAGTCGGCTCTGTGTCCCACTAGTCAGCTGTCGTGCCAGCAGCAAATCACTAGCCCCACCACCAGAGTGAGGAGGAAGTATGAAGGAATCGTGCCCCAAAGAAGTATCTCTGAATCACACTGCTTCCCAGGACCAGTCCTGGCACGGTGTGGCTTTCAAGCCACCCGTGGTTCAGGGCTGAGCTGAAAGGTCAAGCACCTCAACTCATGTCAAGGGCAAAAGGTGCTGACAGCAGCTGGCCCCTTGCAGGGTCAAGCCCCTGGGGAACACATTTTTTGTGTGTAGATAATCAAGAATAATGCATTACCAGAAATCTTGTCCATTTCTGGTGGGAGAGGGGGGTGTGAATGGCTTGTGATATATCAGAGCATGCTGGTGAGTGATCAGCAGAATATTTCGTTAAATTATTGAAGCTGGTGGATTGCAATATGAAAACTCACTACAGGGCTGTCTCTTTGAGAAATGGGGTGAGAGTGAGTCCATTTTGTGTGTGTGTGCGCGAGTTTGTGCATGCACAGGTGTTGGGTTGTGCGTCATCCCGTCTATGGATTAGTAAAGTAGAAATTAGCAAGGTTTGAGCGCTTTGTGCACAGCATGGCACTTTGTAATAAGGCTTTGCACACTTACGAATATATAGAGATTTGGAAACAAGCAACTCCTTATTAAAGATGACAGAAATGTATGGTAGGGCCAGATCCTCACCTCATATAAATGGGGACTGCTCCAATGGAGCTATGGTAGCTCACACCATCTGAGGATCTGGTCCATGAATGCTCTTTGTCATCATTAGAAAGATGGACTCTTTCCTACCTCAAGAAAGAGCCCCAGAAAGTCCCTCCCTCCCTCTCCAGTTTTGCAGCTGAATTCCAGCGGTCTCTACATATAGCAAGTAAATTGTAGTGTAATTATAGCGTAGCACAACTCAACGTGTGAAGCTGTCACACTGAATAACAAGCAATTAGGTGTGTCTTTGTGGTGGAGAGGAACAACCGAAACGGGGTTTGATTGGGATGGAGAACTTTTCAGACTCCGCTGTGAAAGGGATTATTTTCTCGGCACGTACCGTCAGCTCCAAGGCTGCGTTCAGCAGGCCGTTGCGTTTGCTGTGAAGATAAGCACTGGAACTGCCTGTTTTGGCCACTCGTATCCGTGCCAGCCGGGCTTTCTGTAAAGAGAAGCAAGATTTATTGACATATTTTTACTTTGACACACCAAGCCAACTGTTCCACCTCTACTAAAATAGGGGGAAAGAAAATACACAGTTTTCATGGAAGCTGAAAAATCAGAGAGATGAAAATACAAGGAATTTATGGCTAGGAGAAGATCAGCAGCCAGCGCAGCCTTTTGCACTTCCTACCTGCAACCCAGTTTTAAAACTCAAATGATGGAGATTAAGGAAATCTGAGGACTCAAGACATTACCAGAGCTGACCTCTCACAACCCATCAATGGCCTCCCCTTAAAGAGTAGGGGGCTACCTACTCAAACGTGCTTAGTGATATTTTTGGGTTTCTCCATATTTTGGGTGTCCAACAGGAGATACCCACCTCTTACATGTTTCTTGTCTCTGACATGGGAGGATTGTGTTACCTGTGTGTGTAGATATATAGCTTATCATGTGAAACTCAGATGTGTGGTTTAAGAGAGAAAGCGAGAGATTTCAATAGTTGGTACAGATTATGCACAAAACTCATCTATGCCCCGTTTCTCCCACTTGCTTGCATGTGAAATCCCTCTGTGATGCCTTATCTTCTAGACTGTAAACATGTTGTGGCACAGAGAGTCATTTACTATATGTGTGTGCAGCACCTAGCACAATAAGGCCTTGATATGGTGGAGGACTGTAGGTGTAACTACGACACAAATGGTTAATAATAGGAGACAAGAAGGATACAGAATAGGGCAGATCATTAACTTGCCTCACCTATGAGCTGATTGGCATAGATTAATAATTGGATCTATCTATCTATCTATCTATCTATCTATCTATCTATCTATCTATGGAGACTGTAAAAAACACCTTGTTTGTTCCTTCTCTCCTCCTCCAGCAGCAGTGTGTGTTTGTTAACTTGGATTTATGGTAACAGGAGAATAATTTTCTCCAGAAAAATATATGCCCTCCTAGATAGACAGAAATCTCTCTGCCGCAACAAATAAGCTATTCGGAAAGAAGAGAAAAAAATCTATTTACCTAATGTTTGGTTTCTTATAATTAGTTAACCCTGCCTGGCCCGGTCTTATCTACAGACCCCATAACTTCTAGTTAGAGGACTGAACTAAATTATAGAAAAGTGGTATAGACTAATGTAAGCATATAAAGACTCAGTTAGCTTCGATCATTAAGTGATCAAACGGTTTTTAACTCTTTCTAATTTGTCTGTTCAAATACTGCCTCCTTCTCTGTGAAGTGCTTTGCTTTTTAAAAATGTATTGTTAATTCAGTATTTATTTCCCAAGCTCCATTAAAGGTAGATACATGAAATAATTACCACTGTAAAAAATTATATTAGGTTGTGTTTTAAAATACTGCATGATCTTTTAAATAGTACAGAATGCCAGGTTTTCTTTTCTAATTAGTGGTGGTTAATGGACACTGTAGCAAGAGCAAGAGCAAAACCATGATTGGTCTATAGTGCATAATGATTCCAGAAAGTGTATTACCATGTATGCACGAGTGACTTAAGCACTCTGGATTTGAAAGATTTGCTTAACCGAATGCACTTTAATTCGTGCACACAAACAATTTCCCAGGCATGTTCTGAGCACTATTCTGCAACTTCAGTTAGGAGACAGAGGCCAGGAGATTCAAAAGTGATTAATGATTTTGAGCCCCACCTTGACACACCTTGTTTTCAGAGGGTGGGTGTTCAGCACGAGCCCATTTGAGCACCCAAAAATTGAGGTACCCAAAACCAAGAGTCGTCTTTCTAAATCTTGGCCAGATTTCTTTGGCTCCCAGCACCCATTTTTAACACTAAGGCTCAGAGTTGCCGGGTGAAATCCTGGATCCACTGAAATCAGTGGTAAAACTGCCATTAACTTAGATGGATGGTGGATTTCACCCCGTGCTCTAAGGCAGGCCCATGGTACATCCAACACAAGCTGGCAGCAGCTTAGTTCACAATGTATGAGATCTGACACCATCAGAGCATTTAAAAATGACAAAGAGTGTGTGGGCGAGGTTCTGTGGCCTGCAGTGCACAGGAGGTCAGACTAGATGATCATGATGGTCCCTTCTGACCTTAAAGTCTATGAGTCTATGATGTCTCCTCTTTCCTGTTTTTTTTCTCCTTCCCCACACCCCTTTCCTGTCCTGTTAATCATTTTAATGACTGTAACCATGACAGCTGCACAGCTATAGAAGTCTTTGCAGGAATTGTCTGACTTGGGAAAGAGAGAAGCCAGGAAAACAGAGTAGCTGCTGACCAGCAAACACTGTGCTGAAACATGCGTCTTGATGATGCTACCACAGTTGCCTCAGGGCAAATCTGAATTTGATTTGGGGGTAAGCGTTACTGAGAGCAATGGTTCCACACAACTTGGAAATGCAATAAACCTCTCTTCCTAGACAGCTGGCAGGCATGTTCAGGTGGATAGTGCAATTGTTGAGTCATGTTCTACTGAGTCATTTCACCTGCATTCCACAAAGTTATTTCACAAACAGGAAACCTGCACACCTCTTTGTACATTTTCCTCACCTTTCACAATGGATCTAGTGCATCCCTCCCTTGAACTGCACCAGGAGTAAGTCTGGCCCATTGATCTCTGTCTTTAAATTGATGATGATTACAGAGGATGTATTTCCTCTGTGCTCTTGACAAAATGTCAGTTCCTTTGCTGCAGGAAGTTCAAGAGTCCCCAACAGTTTCTTCGTAGCTACAGCACAAAAGGTTCCACCAGCATCTTCTGTCGCTATCATTATCAGTTCAGTTATTTGTTATAGTGAATTCAGTCTTAGGCTCCTGTGATGAACATTATTCCCTTTGCCTCCAGGCTAGCAGGAGATCAAATATTAATAGCTGTACTCCACATGGACTGGGGATGGTTCGTCTCTGAGAAGCTGTTCGCTCTTCCTCCCTGAAACAGGGCCACAAGCTAACTAAATAATTAAGCCCCATGGCTTTCAGAGTTTGGAACAGATGTTGTTATTTAAAAGATAGGTATAAAACATTGCTGGGAAAGTGGTGATTTAAACCTATTTTTGTAGTCTGAGAGTGAGAGAAGGAAGTGGTGTCCAAGAGTAGACCACGAAGGACAGTCATGGAGGTTAATGTGCTTTTGTGTGCCTATATTTATGTATGTGTATGGGGTGAAATTCACCTCTGTGCAGAGGCAAAAGGCCTATCCATCACTTATATTCCATATAAGCCCTACATTTCTTAGGGGTGAGCAGGATATGGATGACCGAGCATGATGGAGCGTGACCAAGGGCTTGGCAAAGACCCTGTACTGACCCTGTGCACAGGAGTGAATTTCACCCCGTTGTCACTTGTGGCCAAATTCTGTACTGATGTACTGCAATCCCATTGACATCACTCGGCTGTGTTTTCATTTAGGCAAACTGGGACTGAGCACTGATTGTGATTCATGGTTCGGGATAGAAACCAGGACGCACTTGGTGCTCACACATGGAATTAGGTGAAATGGGCCATTGCAGGTTGATCTGGTGGGTTCGGTCAACCCTGAAACTCAACGCAAAGTCCAGAGGGTGCAAAATTCATGTGGACAAACTCCTAAAATGCTCATGTGAACCATTGCCCATCTTCACACAGCTCTGGGCAGCCCTACAGTCTCCATCACTGGGTGATGTCCAGGTTGCTCCCTCCTGCCCGAAATTTACAATAAAACTCAGCCTTGTTCCTTTTAGTGTCTCACCAGGCACATGAGCATCCAGGAAATGTAAATGCCCTGACTCTGACATCCAGCTGAGCTCGATATCAGACCCAGAGATGGGGGCAAGTCCAAGAAGCCTCATGGCTGCTCTAATCTATGCAAGCTGGCAAGCCATTGCACTGGCTAGTGGTGGTTGGGGCACAATCAGTTCCAGCCAGGCACCCAGAACAGGCCCTCAGGGGCAGCTTTGTCCCCATTGCATGGACATGGTGCATGGACCAGGATTTAAACATACTCAGCAGCAAACAAAATGCACTAAAAGGACCTTCCCCAACCCCACCATGACCCTCCCCATGCTGCCCACTCCACAGGCAGCCCTGAGTTAATGGAAGACCTTGCTGTGTGCCTGGAAGACCAACAGACTTGGGCTCTGTCAGACCAAGTGGGACAGTGAATTCCAGGGGCAATGACTTTCCCCTGAGAACACTGTGCACCAGCCCACAGACATACAGGTCTAGGCTCTTGTTCTGAAATGGACCCTTGTATCCACACAGAACCTCAATGACTTCAGGGTCGGGGCCCTAGGGATTAAGGTTTTTGCATTTAAATGCAGCTTTTGTCATATCCTATTTTAAAGACTGGTGGGCTTGGCTGTGTCATCCCAGACCCACGCTTGCAGGTGCTCCTTTGGTGAGGGAGGGCTCTAGTAGGCACAGACAAGGGGAGGACCATGTAATTTGGTTGATCTGCTGCTAATGCCTTTAGGAAGAGTGCATTCCTTCCAAATCTTACCTGCCCTATTGACTCACAAAGGGCAAGGCAGGGCCTGAGATCACTATTTCTGAATATTGTCTTGGCACCGTTAGAGCTGAAAAGAAAAGAAAAAAGCAGCCCCCGGTGCGTGTGTGAGAGTGGAGGTGGTAGGAAGAGTTGCTAGGAAACCACAGGAGCTCAACGTGCATATTACCAAATCTGGAAGATAATTCATTCGAAATAATAACAATCATATGACAGCAATTTGCACATTAAGAGCATTAATTTGGCTATCTTAGCCCGCATTTGTCTCAGTGTGGAGACTGAAAGGTGGGTGTCAGTAAAGGTGTGGATCCTCTCCCTAGCCTTTGCAGTTTCAAGATGCAATGTGGCAGAATCTAGCAGCACAGAATGAACAGGGAGGACACTCGGACTTTCTTAAAACATTGTGTGTGGGCTACTCAGATGTCATGGTGATGAGGATGATATATCTAGATAGACAAACAAACCCTACATTATGGCAGTACCCTGGCAGTCACCTCCCTACACTGTCCATTGGGGATCAATAATGGAATCGTAA